CTGGGTCCTAATGTGACGCTCTTCAGACGTTCTTCTTGGTCCAATCTTGGCGTCAAAATCTCCAAAGATGACCTTGAAGAATGTATGGTCTTCTCTATAGAAGTTCCCCAAGTCCATATAGAACGCTTCGACTTCTTCGTCATAGCTCGACGTTGGCGTGTAAACAACTATGATCGTCAAATCTGGTATTGATCCACATCTTTTTAATCGTAAACGTCCGATTCAGGTTGTAAGTTGTTCAAATGAATCGATTTTCATGGATAAACTCGTGTTGGCGAGAACGCCAACGCCGCTGACTCCTCTACTGGCGCATGTTCCAAGGAACAGTTCTTCTCCTGTGTCATAGACGGGGTTGAAGGGCTGGCGTCTTCTCGTCTCGGCCAGGCCGATGACGTCATACCTTATCTTTCTTGCTTGCATGAGCAAGTCTACTATCGAGGACTCGGATGTAAGTGTACGTGCATTTTAGGTGCAGATCGTCACCACAGTTCTTTGGAATCCAGACAGCTTCCATTAGCCCTGAGATTTTAGCTGCCTCTCCGTACTCGTTCCACCCAACACTGCCGAATTGGTGGCTCTTTCGGGGTCAGCGGAGTGATGTCCGTTTCTTTTACTGTTTTTACCTTTCTATACCCACGGTATATCTTGCTGGGCTCTGAATGTGGGGATTGGGTATACTCACGGGTAGCTTGTCAGGCTCTGCCAGAGTGGACATGGAGCTTATTTGTTGGAGGCTACTCCTAACTACCTCCCATATACTTCCCAGTCACTTGATTGCAGGCTTTTGGCCAAATTGACTCGTAGAATACAATCCGCGTTAGCAAGAACCCACCCACACACACGTGCATGAATACGCCTCGTAAATACAGAGGGTGTGTGCCAAATCGGCGCAGCAGAGACAAGGTGTCCATCCTCTGGAATGAACTGCGTCTCAGCGAGGCGAAGGTAGCCTCTGTTCCGTGATTAACCGCTCATCTCCCACCTGGGGACGCGCGAGGGTCGCGACTCGGGATCCCTTCTATGAGAGAGATCCGTGAACATCATTCTATACGCCGAATTATCGAAGATAACGTTGGCCGGACAGGCAAAGCGTCTGGACGAGACTCGATTGATAAGGGCCGTTAGCGAGTGGGTTCCTCGGGATATCAAGCACACCAGGAAACCACCGTCAGAGTTCTTCACTAAAACCGTAGAAGGAATATACGATGCTCAAAGGGTCACTAAACCAGGCAGAAGCCACTGGGCTACTCTTGCACGCTTCAGGGGGAGAAATGCAAGCTTTACTGCCGCCCGCTCGAGTCACCCGACAATAACGGAACGACATCTCATAGATAAAGTGATCTTAGCTGTAAACCTTATTATTAAAAGAATCCATTGAAATTTATACATGTCTCCCATCAACATTTTAGATTGCTAGATTTGCGACGGTAAAATTTTATTTTTCCTAAGATTAAAAAGAGTTTCTCGTTCTTGTTTCATCGACATTTAAAACCTCAACAAGGAAGCCCTTGAACACGCGGCCTCTAAGTTCAGTTGGAGATAGTGTTCTCCATCACATATCTGGCTTGCACGGATGCCTCTTCTGAGTTCGAAACTTCAGAGTTCGTATATTTTTTTCTTTACTCTTTCTAAACTGTTTTTCGGTGAAGTTAAAGAAGAGTTTGGAGGAATGTTTGAAGGGAGCCATAAGCACGTTACGTTTTGCAGTAGCTCGTCAACGTTTTAAATTGCTGAAATGCTGTAGTTATCAGAAGAACGACGCCAATACCGTGTTAAGCTCATAATTTAAAACGGGAACGGAAGTTTTTATTTGTACAGGAAATCCATTAAATTCAGAGAAAATAGGTATCTATACTGTCTATACTTGAATGGAATCCATCATTACCGTAATCGCCAGGATAGTGAAAACTGTTGTAGATTGGCTCAACAGAATAGCCGATGGCATTAAGGTTGCAGTCGTTATAGAGCTCTGAAGACGAATCTTTCTTATAAGCTACATTTCACAAGACATCAGCAACAGTATGCATTTACATCAACGCTTGTCTTTCCCGACTATTTAGTTTGCCGCCGGGAGTTCTCTACTTATAACTTTGCGTCCAATATAGATGTTGTGCGAATTGTAGCCCACCGAAAACTATTCTCCACGTTTAATTTTAAAAAGGTTCTCTGAAGGGATTCTCAATGAGCACTCGTTTATTCAAAGCTGGTCGACTCGATACTTCATGTAATCCTGAGATAGCCGTTCTAAAGCGTTCCTACGTGAACTGGTATAGGAAAGCTTGTCCTAGACAAGCCTGGTAGAAATATCCCGAACGGCATGCGTGAGAGACTTGGTGGGTCAGGAGCGGTGTCGAAGTAGACCCTGTATAGGTTGGGTCGCCTGCGTCAGGAACGGGATCGCTATCACGCCGCTATATGCGAACTGGAAGAGGTAAGAAACAAAACAAATGACAAATAGCACGTGTGAAGTACTCAATACACGATATTCCTCTTTTTTGTAAAGACAACTATACACATATGGAAGCGGGTAGTATATTCGTAGTGAGTCAGTCCACTTTGGGCCTCATTCCGCTGACTCCGAAAGTGCCCCCAATTTCGCAGGGTTGGGTAGAACGAGTACGGAGGGGCAGCTAAAATCTCAGGGCCAATGGAAGCTGCCTGGATTTCAAAGAACTGTGGTGACCATTTGCACCTAAAATGCACGTACACTCAGTTGCATCCGAGTCCTTGATAGAAGACTTGGTCATGCAAGCAAGAAGGATAAGGTACGACGTCATCGGCCTGGCCGAGACGAGAAGACGCCAGCCTTTCAACCCCGTTTATGACACAGGAGAAGAACTATTCCTCGGAACATGCGACAGTAGACGAGTCAGTGGCGCCGGCATTCTCGTCAATACGAGTTTGTCCATGAACATCGATTCATTCGAACAACCTACAACCCGAATCGGACGGTTACGATTGAAAAGATGTGATCAATCTCAGCATTGACAATCTTCGTCGTTTACGCGCCAACATCAAACTATGACGAAGAAGTCGTAACGCTCTATATGGACTTGGAGAAGTTTTATAGAGAAGATCATACATTCTTCAAGGTCATCATTGGAGATTTCAACGCCAAGATTGGACCAAGGAAAACGTCTGAAGGACGTCACATTGGGACCCACGGATTAGAATGGAACGAACAGAGTGAGCGGCTGCCTGAGTTTATCACGACGACCGAGACCATCCATGGTAACTGGCATTTTCAGAAGCCCTACCTTCAACGCTGGACATGAGAGTCTCCCAACGGAGACTACCATAACGAAATAAACCACATCATAGTAAATAGAAGGTTTTCCCTAACCGATGTCGCTGTTGTCCCAAATTTCTACACGGGATCAGATCATCATCTCCTTTGTGGAAGATTCTATTTCTCGCAGAAAGGAGAAAAAACCGCTAAATTCCAAAACCGAAGTTCCATAACCACCGCAAACTGGGACTTATACAATTCATTCGGCTATTGGAAGATGTCGTTGTCGATAAAATCTACGAAGAATACGATCAACTAATTCAACACTTTCACGTTAGCGCTATGAAAGCTGAGAGTTCGAAAGTCACCAAGAGACGTTTGTCTCCAGAAACACTCAAGCTGATACGCTAGCATGGAATCGTGCGAACTGCAGGCAACGGCGAACTAACGTCCGAATTTGCAGAACAGTACAGACAGGCGATAAAAAGAGATCCTGAAGGGAGAAGACCATCAGTAATGGTCGAAGCTGCAGAGGCTGGAAAAACATTCACAAAGCCCACCGATGCTTCGTCAATTGCAAGACCAAGATGATTGCACTCGGGCGCCCAGACGGAACAGTTACGGCGCCCAGAAAGGCAATGGCGAAAATCATTCACGAATACTACTCAGATCTCTTCGATAGTCCCGCCCATCTTCCGTCATATAAAATAAAGGAGGATGGATATGTTGCACTACCAGTTCTCCCTTCCGAAATTCGACATGCCATTTCGTCGGTGAGAAATCGAACAGCAGCAGTCTCAGACAGGATAAGACCGGAACACCTGAGGAACCCTACACCAGTCTTCGTGAAAACACTGGCTCGGCTCTTCATACGTTACCTGTCTGAATGCAAGGTCCCTGCTCAGTGGAAGACCAGCAGGACCGTGCTATTGTTAAAGAAGGGTGACCTAAATGATGTCAGCAACTATCGTCCAATCTGCTTACTGTATGTCGCGTACAAACTTCTCACTCGAGCCATCCTACAAAGGATTGGTAGAACACTGGACGAAGGACGGCCATGTGAGCAAGCAGGCTTTCGAAAAGGATTTAGTACGATGGACCACATTCACACGGTAACAAGGCTCACTGAAGTGATTTTCTTCGTATTTTTGTTGAGCAAACGCGAGGTGTTATTATTCTTTGTTCACGATTAAGCTGACGTTTCGGCGGATTTCGCCTTCTTCAGAGCCTGGAAAGGTCAAGTTGATAGCAACTCACTCGACCAGATGCCTCCATAACCAAACAAAGAAACTCCACACCAAGATTTCAATCACTTTGAACACAGCTTTGCACACTCACCGCTTTCTATGAGGTTTCCACTAAGTATGTCACGTAGAGACCAACCGCACAGAAATCACGTGGAAGTATAATGTGCCCCTCACATCAGAAAAGCAGTTTTATATACTGCCCAATATCACTTGATCAATGCCGAGGTTAATAGAAAGTCGGTCGTGGCGCCACTGAAGTATCGCGATAATACAAAAGACCGCTCTGTCTCACTTTCATCGATTTAAAGAAGGCCTTTGATTCAACTGAAACAGAAACAGTCTTGGAAGCGCTTGGGAGTCAAGGAGTCCTTACTCAGTACATGAAGATTCTTCGTGAGCTGTACAAGAATTTCACAACCAAGATATCACCATTCTACAACGATATTAACATAGACGTCAAAAGAGGAGTTAGGCAAGGCGGTACCATCTCACCGAAATTATTTACCGCCACGCTCTAGAACGTCATGCGATTATTGGAATGGGATAATGCGAGAGTGAAAATCGATGGTCGGCAGTTACACCATCTTCGCTTTGTTGATGACATCGTCCTTATAACACCAAACATTAGCCAAGCGGAATGTTTGCTTGACGACTTTGATAAAACCTGTGGAAAGATTGGTCTTCTACTAAATCTCACAAAAACAATGTTCATGAAGAACGGATTGGTTTCGCATGCCCCATTCAGGCTCAACGGAACGAATATCTCCTAATGCTACAGTTATATCTTCCTAGCTCGGTAAATCAATATAACGAACGACCAAGCTCGAGAGCTGAGCAGAGAGAAACGAGCAGCTTGGTGAGCTTTCAAGAGCATCGAGGATGTGGTGAAGAGAGCAAAGAACACCCGACTACGTGGCCAATAAACTCAACGGTACTTCCTGCGTTAACGTGTGTCAGAAACCTGATCACTCCGTAAACAGGATGAAAGATCACTCAGCGTTATCGAACGCGCAGTCGAAAGGTCGATACTAGGATTATCCCATTTCACACAAGTAATGGAAGGAATCCGAAGCTGCGACCTGCGTCAACGATCAAAAATGAAGTATGTCGCTCTGTGCGCCAAACAGTCGAAGATAAGGTGGGTCGGACACATAATGCGTATGAATAACAACCGATGGACAGGAGCTGTAAGTGACTGGATTCCTCGGGATGTCAAGCGTACTGCAGGAAGACCACAAACCCGATGGTCAGAGTTCTTCACGATGAGCCTATGAGCAAGATATGATGCTCGACGAATCCCGAGAGCGAGCAGAACCGACTGGGCTACTCTTGCACGCGACAGGGAAGAACGGAAGATTTACTGGCGCCCGCTCGAGTCATTCGACGATCACCGGGACCACAGGTGCTACAGGTGGATTATTAAGATCTAAACAGTGAGATGTTAATTCAATGTTTTTCTTCAATAAGCAGACACGAGGTTGTTATGATTGAAGAAAAACATTGAATTATCAATTAATGCCGAGGTTAACAGAAAGTCGGTCTTGGGAATTGCTAAGTGAGATGTTAGCCTATCAAAAACATCCCGACCACGCTGCGCTCCAATGAGAAACATAGGACGGCTGTTGAATCTCAACATGGCAAGCCTTTTATGCTGTCGATGTCAACTTATTTTTAGCTTGTCTTATTTTCCATGAAAAAGGCTTTCCTATTATGCTGACATTCGCAAAACACCGGGCCAGATCGAACCTGTGCCAGGAGCTCACAACTTGAATCCTTTGCGCCACTGAGGCTGTTACTTTGCCTTCCTCGCGGCCGATTTTCCACTTAAGTTGCATGTGTTTGTAACCTTTCCCGCTCTATCTGTGTTGATGTCTAGAACAAGACGATATGCTGTTGAAGCTGATGAACATGTTTCATTTCAAGGTTCACTTCTTTGGGTAGGTTCTTTTATTTTCATTTCTATTGAATATTAGGACATTAGAGCATTACTGGAAGGGCCATGTCGCTTGTAGATGTGTTTGTCGTCAGTGTTCTGAAGAACGACAGTGGTGGCGATTCTTTGGAATGTCTCTTGCTTATAACCTACGTACCTTTTTCTATAACCCCACAGAATGTTCTCCCGTTAAAACACGGCTGAGAGAAAGGCGAAACTAAGGATACGCATGGTGTGGTGGTGAACACGTTAGCCCCCGGAAATGGTAACGGCGTGTTTGGTCGCACCACAGACACCTGCGGTTCGGAGTTATGCGAATATCTCATTATCATTGTGGTTATCTCCTAAATTTGTGGGAATGATTTTTTCGTCACGTAAGCATCTCATTTCAAACAACTGCTCTTCGAAAATGCAAGTAGCTCGCATTGAAGGTCTCATTTGACATCTTCTTCGCTTCTCATCTGTTCCTTAGTAGATTCGCCTGTTTGCGTTGGTCTAAGATGACACCACTTTCTCTTCCACTGCTGTCTAGTGGAATGAGCGAAGAGCCATCGTTGCATGAGATTCGCATGGCAAATGCTGTCAGGGTCGGACCAGGAAATTATAGGCTGGCAGTTCCTAGTAAGTCTGTTTTCTGTAGTAGTTAGATGTCTGTCTCAGTACTGCTGTTGTATGTTACTATTATGTTACTGGAACAGGTAGCGTAAAAGGGCAAATGTAGCCCAGTGATCGGAGGCGCCCTGCAATACGCATGAGATCGATCCAGGCGCCCAAGGCTCACCAATCCTTGTGTCCCTCCGGGGTCGGCAAATTGGCACCACACTTCTCTGTGAGGATAAAAGCACTGGCTCGTTACAACGGTAGGCCACTGCGAGTCATACTAAAAGCCAAATATACATTCAATCATCTCCAGCGATACTTCATGAAGTTGAATGCATGGCGCATCCCTCAGGGATGGATCATTGCCGTGAGCTTTATCGCTTATCCTTTATTATTTAGAATACTTATCACAATACGTAAAGGGATAGATTTCAAGTGGAGTGGATTGCTTTTAAAACTGAAGACATGTACGGCTGTAATTATGCCTTTTTTCAGAAGTTCATAAGTGTATTTCGCTTGCTGTTGACCATGTATTAAGATCTCCACGACAAGATAGTTCAGCTAGCAAACATCGTGAAGCAGAGTACGTTTCATGATATACTTGCTTATTTATTTGGACGCTTGGATGTCCCATCTTCACTGGATGTGCGGAACCCACCAAAATTTCCATTTTTTCAAAGTTTTGCTGATTTAGCTATTGTGGTTATCTGGAGTCTCGAGGTCATCGTAGCCAAAGTTTGCCCCAGTTCATCACCGTCACAGGCAGTCCCAGCCCTTGTGGATCAGAGGGGGATTTGCCACCGTGCCTAGTTTGCCAGGAGGGTGGTAGATCATGGTAGTGGTTTACTCTTACCTGGGCTTCCTGATGGAAACGCCGGACTCCTTCTTAGCTTGGGTAACCCTGCCAGAGGGATGAGAATTCCCCCGCTGTACATCGCAACCCGGCATATAAGAACACCTTCCAGCCACTGTGAGGCTGTAAACTGTTGGGAGATTCATGATATACATTGTTCCCTATGGTCATTTACGTTTCTGTTTTTGTTATCTTCATTTAACTGTCCTTTCTTCACTTTAGACTCCTTCGTACTATCTTTAGAAAAAAAGATTAAGGAATAAGTGAGTTTTTTCATGAAAACTATAGTTAACTTTCTTTAAGATATTCGTTAGCCTCCGATATCGCTTACTTCAAGGCGGGCGCCTTCAATGAAACATGTCCAACACGGAAAAGGTAGGCCCATTTCAAAAAAATTTCTGGGTGATTTATGCAGATGAACTAGCTATACCGTGCTAGTATCAGCTAAAAATGTTGCTGTGCTTCTAGCTTTCTATGCTAGATATTTTGGGAACACATTATGACCTTTCTGTGCTTCTGAAGCACCCGTGCCCTAGACTCACCGTGCTTTCCATCCATCCATGATCGGCAAATTGGTACCAGACCTCTTTGGGTGGATAGCACCACTAACTCGACAGATCGGTAGACCATCGCCAGTTAATGTATGAGCCATATATGCATTCATTCCCCTCTTTCGATGTTTCGATGAAATCGAATGCACGGCGCATCCCTCAGAGCTTGATCAACGGCGAGAGCCTTATCCTTTAATTTGAGCGATCTACAGTGAACTCCTCTCTTCACCATCTTCTATGGGAGTCAGCTAATGGGCTCTTCATTTCCAACTTTCAGAAGATTTCCGATGAAGTTATTATTTCCAAGCTTTGCTGACCTATTGGTGTGGTCCATTTCCGGTATGCCTCGCAATATTCCTAGCCATACGTGGTGGCAAATCAGAAGTTTAGAGCTAACCACATAAATTACGCCCTTTATTTACCCAGAGAAATTTTTAGAGTATACTATCCGGACACGCAGGTTACCAACGATTCATCTTCGAGGAAGTATGTACGCTTTGCCAAGCAAGATGGTAAGAGATATTCCGCTCCGTATTTAAATTCTACATTACATCTGTCGTCATAAAACCTCGAGATGTGATCTTTATTCCCTCGTTTTTAACGTAAAACTGATTTTAAAACGACTTTGTAACACCTTCAAACTTGCTTTAAAAAGCAGTTAATTTTAGACTCGACAGGCATATCGATGAATAAAACTATGGCAGAGCCTGTTACTAGCGAAACAGCATCATCTGGCAGTAATGAGTAAGAACTAGTGTGACCTATTGCCTTTCATTATGATTTGGTCACTTATTGTTTCCAATTTATTGTGATTGAGAAAAACTCACAGTAGGATTGTACACTTTTTTTCAGTAGAAAGGTCGGTGGATCGACCTCATGTAAAGTGAGGTGATTAACTGATTTCAGCACCTTTGTATTTAAAAAAAAGTACGCGTGTGGCGCAGTGGTCGGAGGCGCCCTGCAACACACAGCTTTTCATCCCTCCGAGGTTGGCAAAGAATAGCAGCACTGGCTCGATACATCAGTAGACCACGGCGAGTCACCCTAAAGGCCAGATGTGCATTCAATCACCTCTATCGGTGCTTAATGAAGTCGAATACATGGCGCGTCCCTGGGGGATTGATCAACGCCGAGAGCTTTTTTTCATTTATCGTAAAGGATTTAAGGAAGGTTACGAGTAAGTCCTAACTAAAAGTGGAGATTCATCTTCCATTTCGTGCTGTGATAGTGGTTCATGTTCGCTTGCTATTTAAAGGCGGCCGAATCTGCTGGTGGAATCTCAAATCGACGTCGACAGTTACGAAGAGGTTGCAGAGACTGGAGAATATGATTATGCTTCTGGGTAGGCATTGCTCACTGTTCATTCCGTCCATTATCTTTTGTTGTTTGACTTCATGTGCTCTTATCACTGTGAAAACTTTTAGTTTCTTACTGGTAATTTCATACCACTTCGACTTGCATTCATTTTTTATGAGAACTGCATTTGAATTTATTGTAATAATGGAACATTAAATTCACCAACATTGGAGAGATGTGTTGCCGCCATCCTTGGTGTCAGAAAGTCGCGATGTTGTTTCTGGGGCGGCGTATCGTGAACTTAAAGGAGAGAACAATTACCTTAAAGAACAGCTCCATGCTAGCGTCTTGAGGTAAGGATTCCTATAACGAAAAACGAAAGCTGGGGTGCATTATTTGACGTACAGGGCAATAACTGTCCAAAATTAATTGTGAAATTATAGGATAAAACAACTGGAGGCGTTACTTGTGCTTCGCAACGGGCACGTGAAAAATTTGGTGTCCGACAATCTCCAGTTATTGCTAAAATGTCAGAAATTGATGGGAGCTTTAGGAGAAGAAGAAGCTAAAGAAGTTTTGTAAGTCTTTCTAAAGTGAATTCTTTTAAAAACTTTCGTAAGGAGTACCTGTACGACCATGGGGCTTTTGTTATAACTAGTGTTATATGATTTGAAGATATGAGAAAACTGTAAAGCGTAAGTGATTATCGGTAAGTCATGCTGCACTCAATCCTCTAGCCATTCACCATGAATTCGAGTCCATTAGGCACTGTAGAGATGAAAGGACCCTACTGATTTCGGTGTTCTTTACTTTTGTTCTTCTAGATAAGCTTAGTACCAATCTTCCAAGACAGGTGGACTGGAAGGCTTGGCTTGCCCAGGGTTTGGAATCGATCCAATGACCATATGTTCGAGGTGGGGAACCTTCAATCACTGCGCTACCCCTTGACTTATAGAGAATTCCCCCATTATAAACACTAAGTGTACAATAAATCTTACTTCGTTGGTAAGTTAGCACAAGGTTGTTACCAAAAATTTATTTGGCTAACGTTTCCCGTCTTCATCTTCCTCAGAACCGATGATCCGAGTCGATGGTCCACAGTTGTTCTTCTTGATGTGATCTTTTCGTCGTCGCACCAGTCTTCTTTAGTGAAGCACTGGCTTCGAGGAAGACGAAGATGTAGAGACGTTTTCCGAGTAAATGTTTGGTAACAACCTCATTTTAGCTTGTCAGTGAACTAGTATACATTAATCACTCGTACCGAATTTAAACGAAAACCGGTTTGCAATAGGACGACGGGTAAAGTCCTTCCACAGAAAAGAAAGTTAAAATTTTGAAAACTTAGGACACCCATTCTTGAAGTTTTCCGAAGCCATATTTTCCTACCTATACACAGATGTTCTCATTAAAGTTCGTTGTTTAGGTCCTGAAGTGGAGAAAAAACACTGACGGCACTGACGGAGCGAATTGGCCAGCGAAATTACGAGTCCCATCAACTTGTATTAGTGTTCTTTTTCTGTGATATACTCAGGAAATTTTGGTTAATTAAGAGCAGTAAAATAAATGTGATGGTTCTATGTCTGCTCGTATCGAACACAACAAACTTATTTACTTAAGCAGTATCACCAAACTACCGGAATCTGATCGCTTATTTAGCTAAGATAAACGAGCTTCTGTTTAGTCCAAACATAAACTTTAGTTTTGTACACAAGTACGGCAATATGACTAGTATTAACAACAATATGAATGGAAAGTTGTGAACCAATAAGTACGTTAACAATTGTGAGTGTTTACTGATTCCTCTTTCGGAGAACATTTTTCAGGTAAAATTCACCCGCTTTGTAAGATGATCGCACCAACGGACCAGATGCAACGTATAGGAATCCCATATTACGAGCGATTTTAGTCCACTCGTGAAATCTGTAATGGCAGCAAGTTACAAGTATTGGTGAATCTAAAGTAATCTAGAACTATCTGGAATCACGATACTGAGATATCTGCAAAACTCCGGACCGCTGGTATCTGCGGTGGGGAACCAACGCGCTATTACCCTTTCCGTGAGCTAACGCGTTCACCACTACACCATCCGAATCCTTCGTTTCGCATTTTTCTCAGAGGTATTATTGACTTATAGGTATTTGGAATCATACTTTTGTGGTGTAATCCATTCCTTCACCAGTAAGTGCCTTTTTGTTGGTTGCATGTACTGCCCGAAGGTGATAACATCGACATCATGTTGCCGTAAATCAGCTAAGCATTTCATAACCTTAAATATAGTCTGGTAATGAAGTTCACCACTTTAAGAGGCGCACAGAGTATAGACAATGGTTGCCTCGTTGTCTTCTTCCCCAAGACCAAGCATTATTGATGTTTTAGTAACCAGCTTCCGGTTCGTTGCCTTTGCTCGTTTTAAACCTAAATTAGCAATTCAGTATGAGAAAATTGCAGCACTTTCAACAGCAACGATGACAATACCCAACTAAAGCTGACCTTCAAGTGACTGAAAGTATTTAGCCCTTGGGTCACGAACCCATGGCGTTAAACGCTCAACGGTTTCAATATTATGTGCGTAAACATCAAGTCCACTCCTGAAAAAGAACTATTTTAAGCATTTTCCAGGCGTCTTGCAAAGGGCGGAATGTTGTTCCACTTCCTAATGATAATTCAAGGATTTCTCAGAAGTTTTACAAAGACTACCCTGTTTATGTTAATGGCCTAATGGACTAACGGTTCACTTACTGGGCCATCATATCGATACTTTCAACGTTACCAGCGAAATCAGGTAACAGGCACTCAATTAGCAACTCTGGCCTTTCCTTCTTCATAAGCTGAACTGTTCGAAAGATATGCGATGCACCTCCATCTTCAATGTCGTCCCTGAATCAGCACTTCATAGAAGTTAGGAAAAACAATTTTGAAAAAATCTTACCGATCGACTGATGTCAAAACAATGTAGTCCACGTCCCATGATTTGACAGCCTTTGCTGTGTTTTCCGGTTCTGAAGGATCCAAAGGAGGCGGTTTACGGGATGTTTTTACTGAGCAAAATCTTAAACAAGATGTCAAATGAACAAGGTAGAAAATCTTCGAGAGTTTTCTTCCTACTGTGGTGGTCATAAAAACACACCTGCAACCTCGTGTGCAGGTATCGCCCATTAGCAAGATTGTTGCCGTGGAAAGGGAATCTTCTGAACCTCCCCAACATTCGCCCAAGTTTGGACATCTATAAAATAATCTAAAACCAGTAACAAATTGATAGTGCAGCTATCCAACAAAAAGAGACGTCACTGTAAAAAGATAGAGCTCTCGGTGTTGATCAATCCCTAAAGGATGTACCATACATTCGGCTTCTCTGAACATCGTTGGAGGCGACTGGATGAATATCTGGCCTTTACAATGATTCGAGGTAACCAAACGATGTATCGAGCCAGTGCTGCTACCCTCCCAGACAAGTCCGCTACCAAATTGCCGGTCCCGGAGGGATGGAAGGCTTGGTCAGCCATGGGCGCGGGGATCGACTCCATGTATATCACAGAGAGCCTCCGAGCACTGCGCTACACGCGCCCCTGGCATCACAGTGGAACTGAATTAACGCTATATCATGCTGATAAATAACACACCTAGCTTCTTCACAAACAGTAGATAATTTTAGTCCCTTCAATTGCTTCTTCAAACGTAAAACGTTAGCGTTCTCACTGGGCTGGACCTGAATAATCCGAGATAGCTCTAGATAACTTGCTAACTTTTAGCTTACCTTCTCCTTCTTGAGCCAATCTGGCAACCGTAGTCGACACTCGCCTTTTAACAGCTTTAGTTTTCCTTTATACTTAGCAACAGCTTCGTCGACAGAACCTAGAATGAACGAAGATGAGTGTTTAGTGTGCATAAATACTTACTTGCTTGGATACTTGGATGGCCCGTTTTCACTGGTTGTTCGGGCGCTAGCGTATTCTCCATTTTCTAGAGTTTTACTGGCTTGTCCATTGTTCCCCTGCAGTCTCGAGATTGGTCTGGCCAAAGTCTACCCTACGTCATCACCACTACAGGCAATTTCAGCCCTTGTGGATCAGAGGGAGATTTGCCACCATGCGACTTTGATACCAGGACGGTGGTGGATCCTAGTACTGGTTTACTCTTAGGGCCTCTTGGTGGAAACTAGGACTGCTTCTCAGCTTGGTAGACCTTATTGGGAAGATGAATTCCTCAGCTGTAAATCGCAGCCCGACACCCAGGAACACCTCCGCGCCACGATTAGGCGGTTTATATTCACGCTGTTAATATACACTACCTCTATGATCCTTGATGATGTCATAAATGCATAGCGCATCCCTCAAGGGTTGATCAACGTTTTATTATTTCCTTACTAAATTTATATATGACGATAAAATATGATGATGGACATACTTGAACCGACGAAATCCTCGAAAGATGGCCCATCTTTCAGTTTTGATTTCGTGCCGACTGGCAGAGAGGAGTAAGTGCGAAAAGGCAGAAGAACATACCGCGTCCGTTGCAACATGTCTAATCAAGTTTTTCTTTAAATAAGCCTAAGCCAAGCGGTCTCAACCATTGGAAAGACCGAATGCGTAAATCTGTAAATATCTTGGAAAGCTAAAAAATACAAAGGACCAACACAACAAAAGTGGAAAGTCGTACTTGACACCAACGTTTTTCTTAACTCCCCTACTAACACTGTACTACAGCAAGCCTTCCCTGAGAGAAAGAGAAATTTGATTAGAATTTGAACCACAAGGAATAGCATTATGAGAAGTGTGCAAAATTGCGTGTGCATGGTGTCAGGTATGCGGTATGGACGATATTTAAATGCGGAAGGCGAAAGTATTTTATTTCATGGCTCCAGAAGGAACGAATGGTCATGATCTAAAGAGTTCTTGATTTGTCTCCTTTTTTTTTTTGTAAAATCTATAGTTGTTTATTATTAGTCGTAACGAGGAGGGCGTGTAGCGCACTGGTCGGAGGCCTCATGCGATACACGTGTAGTCGTTTCCCGTCTCCCAGGCTCACCGAACCCCATCCATCCGAGGTCGAGAAATTGGTACCAGACTTGTCTGAGACGATAGCAGCATTGGCTCGATATATGGGTGGACCACCGAAAGCTATTGTATAGGGCAGATGTGCATTCAATAATCTTCAACTATGCTTAATGAAGTCGGAAACATGGCGCATCCCTATGGGATTGATCGACGCCGAGAGCTTTATCCTTTGTTCTTTAGTTTTTGTGAAAAAGAGCAGTACCCGAAATCCCCCACTAGTTCGTTATCCGTTTCTTTTACAGGTACAGTTCCACGTGTTTTACAGTAAGTGTCTAAAGGATATCGCCAGTTGGTAACAGATCGTCCAGTCCAAGAGTTGCGCCAGACCTCAAGCTTCCAATTAGAAATCGGAATTCTGCAGCAATAGTTGCTAGCGGTGTTCTGTCAATGGAAATGACATGTCTGATAAAGGCGTTCCGGGGCAAAAGGGATTTGTGTAAAGTCTCTCTGCTAACGATTCCATCCCACTACAAGAAGCTGTAACGCGTGTTCGTCTAGTAGAGCAAAAAACAAAATGTTTTACTCGCGAAGGCCTTGGTGTGATTTCGCTTTGCTTTCTCATGTTTGTGCTGTTCGTGGAATCCTCTTCTGCAGATATGGGTAGGGATGCTGTTGCACTGCCTTTTTGCAAATGGAATTGATGACCATTTGTTCGATATGTTCAGCAGCAAGATCAAAGCTTTCTTTGCATTAAAAACACCTTGCTCAGAAAAGATTTGGACACCTTTCAGCAATATTTCGTAGTTCCCCTCACTTTCCGTAGAATGTTCGCTTTCGCTCCACGTATAATTGAGCATGGTATCAGTTAAGATATATTCGTACTATGGCTTGTTTTCTTCTTTCCATGCTACGACAACATTTCTTTTCCACTTTGTAAATGAAGCGAATCTTCGCACGAAGGAGGGTCATCTGCGTCGGTGCAAAATGGTGGAAGGATATCTATGTCGAGCAGATTCCATCTACAAACAAGGATGTAATCGATCTCTGCATGAGTTACATCGTTTGGGGATTCTCATGTCCAAAAGTGGTGGTCTTCTTAAAAAAGGAATCACCATGGAACAGATGAGTAATAAATAGTAGTCCCGGATACGATTTCCGTTTTTGTTATGATGTCCTAATCCAAAATTTTTGACTGTGTAATCGTGTCTTTATGACATCCCTATCCTTGCATTAAAATCGCTCTTTAAAAACTTCCTGAAGGATTTTTGGCCACGGACCAGTTTGTCGAGGTTTTCCTAATCCATGCCAGGTTCCGTGTCATCAGCTATCGTTGCTGGCTAACAGCTCCGATTTTCTCTTTATGAGAAAGCACAAACCATAGAATAGCAAGGCGGGAGACAGAGTTATAAAAGTCGAAAGGTTTGATAATAGTTTGATACTTCGAAAGGCCAATGTCCCAAACATTGAGTGGTGGAATTCTTAGACCTAAACTAATGGGAATTCCACCGTTCAGTTGTCGGGTGACAGCTTTCTTCTCCTTAATTTCTTGATGAGCGAACGCATTGTATTTTATGGGTCCAACAACACCTAGAAGGACTAAAAGGTCATGGTCTGAAGGAACTGAACTGGCTCTATATTTAAGTAGTCGGAAGCAGTCTTCATGATATGTTGAGGATACGCAAATTCTTTCTCGACTCAGTAATATCTTCTCTTTTTGATATGCCCAATGCTTATCGAGCTCTGTTTTATGGAATCTCGAGATAGGTGTACTTGGGAGTTCTCAGGTCTTCACCTTTAGTCTTGACGAACTCTTTTCTTTCGCCGATCCCTTTTCACTCAACATTCACTCGAAACATCTAAAATCTGTGACGCAGTAGATTAAAAAATCCAAGTTATGTACGGTTTTAAATCGTAGGTTGTGATTTCGTTCGTCGCCAATGAAATGAGCCAATTCAAGAGTTGGTTTGCTACGAAGTTTTGGCGACGAAGTTCTTATTAATTGGAATTTATCCACCTACAAGATTACATTGAGATATTTAACCTTTTATATCAATTTGGAAGAGGGTCATGCCAAGGTTAAATTCGGCAAGAAATCGTAAACGAATCGATGACTACGCTGTTTTTCGATCACAAGTGGTAATTTCTTACTTATGCAGTTGGGAACTTAGACTCATGGGATAGACTTTACCCAGTCGCCACAAAGGAATATTATTTGTTTTTAATGTACATCTTTCGTTTTCAATTTTCTTGAAGCATCTTGACAAGATATAGAGTTCTGTGTTCTTGTTGAACAAATACGAGGTGTTACTTTATTCCATATCCCGGGAAAGCTGCCGTTTCGGCAGTATCGCCTTTTTCAGATCCTGGAAGGGTATACTGATAGGCAATTTACCAAGCTAAACGCTTCAATAACAACATATAGAAATAGAGTTCTGTCCAATCTATCTAACGTTGAGTGTGGAGGCTTCAGGATATACGGCCTTTTTGTGTGCATGTTTCCACTGTTTTTCTAGGACTTGTGTTTTCCAGCGCTCACCTGCTGGTCCTCTTGATGCGTTCGAACTCGATTCGTCAGCTCCATGCATTACTGGTTCACTGGACATGCATCTCTCATATTCACTGTTACGGTGTGGAAGAAGCTGGGGTGTTGGAAGCAATTAAAGAAGAGCTTGCTACTTTGCAAGAGGATGACCCGGTTAGTTACGATTTTTGTTGTTTTAGTTGTGAAGGTGGCTTGATGTCACGCAAGAGCATAAGGAATTCTTAGGGGGAACGCGTACAGAAGGGTTGTTCTTTGGTTAGGTTTTGGTCAGAATGGTCAGCTGTATATCTTTGATCTCCGATTAGTACTTCTTAAATATTGGCAAAGCATGAAGGATAAAACTCTTGACATTGCGTCGTTTTCTTGTTCACACGACGACGCATTCATATTCCAATGCCGAGGTTAATAGAAAGTCGATCCTGGGAACTCTCGACACTGATCACAGTCTGAAGGAAACATCATGCATTCGCCTCTATTAAGCATCGTATGGAAGTGATTGAATGCATATCTGGCTTATGCATTGACTGGCGATGGCCTAGCGATGTATTGAGCCAATGCTGGCATTCTTCCAGACAAGTTTGGTGCCAGTTTGCCGACTCCGGAGGGATGGAAGATTTGGTGGTCTAGGAGCGCGGGAATCGATCCCATGTGTATTGCAGGGCGCCTCTAAGCACTGCGCTATGCGTACCCCTTAAATTAATATAAGCACGTACAAGTGCATTTTATCTTACAGGTAATGTACCTTTTTCTCTTTTTTATCCTGTCATGTTTCCTACTATAATTTAGTCCTCAATGTACGTGGTTGTCAACTGTTTTCTTTCAAATGGTTCGCTTAAGCTGCTGATTGATGAGATCATTAGAGAACTGAACCTAACTCATCATGAAAAAGTGGACACAGTAGATGCGTTGGCAAACTTTTTGGGGACCCATCTGTTTTCAACGTAAGTTTAACGTCTGTGTTTTTTGGCATGCTTCCAATTTAACCCTCGTCAATATTTTTCACACACATTTTCTTTTAGCAAATATCGTGTTAAACTAACTATTGTCCTTGATCAAGCGCAGCTGTTGTCGTCCTTCCAAACGTCAGCTGTTAAGAGTCTTTTTTCTCTTCCAAAATCGGTGGGTAACTTAGCACCTTTAACCGTGGAGAAATAAATTTATTCATAATAGTTCTCAGGGAATCCAGTTTGATGTCTTTTAGTAAATCAGTATTTAGATGTCAGTAATTGGCCGACATGTCGGAGAAGAGCCATTGGTTCGCTTTGTAACGCATAGTGAGATGCCTTGGGAGCGAATTGGAGTGTTAAATACGGTGTCTACACCGGTATCTATAGGATTCGAAAATCTTTCCGAAGGTCTGTTTTATGTTAACATTTTCCTTAATTGTTTATCTCTACGGAATAATGCGCAACGCTTTTGCTTTATGGCGAACTGTGACGTTTCTTAGTTAGGTAACGAAGCTAAACATTTGGACCGTTTTATCCTTGTTATGTATTTAGCCCTTTAGTTGGATGCTTAGATGGCCCATCTTCACTGGTTGTGCGGTCTCCAACATAATTTCCACTTTTTTTTTCGGGGTTTTGCTGGTTTAGCCGCTGTGGTTCTCTGGAATCTCGAGTTCAGCATAGCCAAACTCTGCCCAGGTCTTTACCACCTCACGCAGTCGTCGCCGTTGTGGATCAGAGGGTGATTTGTCACCATGCGACTAGTCTATTATCACGACGGTGGTGATCCTGGTATTGGTTTACTCTTGGCTGGGCTTCCTGATGAAAATGGCGGGCCCGTCAACTTTAGAGACCCTTGTTGGGTGGATGAATCTCTCCGCAGCACATAGCAGCCTGTCACCCAGGAATTCCTCTCAACCACGGTGGGGCGGTAAACCGTTGGGAGGATTCAGCACTTCATTCTGCTTATTTTAAAAACTGGTTTTCCTCTTGAGCTTGTGGAAGCAAATATATGCGATTTCTCATTTCTACAGAAGAATGTGTGGACTTACTTACCGGTGTTCTAGCCAGGGATGGTATCAATAGGAAGGTGGTTGAATACATTGTAAGAGCTTCGTTCTTCGAATGTCGCGATGCAAGGAGGATTATAGAGATATTGAGTTCATTTCTTTTTTGTTGTCGCCATTTATGCTCCATTTACTTCCAGTTCCAAAGGTATTTTTACAGGTACGTATCGCATGTGACAAATATTCGAAAAAGTATGGTGATATCAGTGAAATTAAAAACATGAAGTTGCTGCCTATTCTGGAAGCATTGGTAACTACTGGTGTCATATTTGCTTTCTCCTAATCCAATACAGTTTTAAAAAGGAATATAAATAATTCCGATCCATTGTTGTTGTGCTCTACTTTGATAATTTCGGCTTACATACTCCACTTTTCCAGAATGAAACTGATTGCTTTCGGGGAGACGAGAGTGCTCGAGATACCCCTATAAATCTTCCAATAAGTGCCAAGTGAGCTGTTTATTTTTGTTTTTCTCTAATTTAGTATATTAAATATGTGTAAAAAAGTGCTGCTTCGATATTAACTCTTTCCGTCCGATGTGAATCATGTTCCGCAGTACCAGGTCACCTAAGTATTCATGAACTAGCTGGGTTTTTCAGGTTTATTTATGTGATTTGTTAACAATTATAGGTATCTTCTCGTCGCCTCATTCTGCGCTAGCTATAATCCTCCAGCTACAGATAGGAGATATTTCGTCAAGGTTGGTATTTTTTGTGTAGTAAAGATTAATAGTTTGCTTCATGAACAGCAGTTTTGTTTGAATCGGTTGCTCTACCCCTTAGATATTTAAGAAGTTTGAGGAGTTGTGGGGATATCCAAATTACTAAAGTTTTAATAAAGGAAGTAAGTTAGTTGTTGCACTGTATTCTGATTGTAACGCTAATTGAGGTTGGACTTTAGGATAGAGGTATGGGAATTCCTATGTGCAACGTGGTAGTTCTATAACTTGTTAAATGGGTCATTGATCCCTCAGATTTCGTACGAGGATACCTTGATTTTCTTCATTGAGTTCGTTCTCTATTTAGTTCCACGGTAAGGAGAAACGTTCCGAAGCGCGAGAAAGAAGAGCAGAACAAGCAGCTGAACAGCGAGATATTGAAGCAAAGCCAGCAGACTTACAGCGCATGAAGTGTATTTACTTGGCACTAACAAACTTGTATCCTGTGAAAGACATTAATATGGACATAGACGTTAATCCACAGGTTTGTTAAACTTCGAGAACGAACAGAAATATCTGGGCACGCTGCATGTGTTATTTTGACGTTAGCTTTCTATTTACTGCCTATTAGATTTTTTCATGGCCGAGTATCATGTGAAATACAACCACAATGGTGGTGCTGGTAGATAGAAAACTAGCTGAGAGAAAGACGAAAGGATGAACCCGAGTGGTGTGGTGGCGAATGCGTTAGCCCCGGGTAAGGATAATAGCTTGTTCGGTCCCCACCACAAACACCTGCGGTCCAAAGTTTTGCAAATATCTCAGCATCATTGTGGTTTTATGTTATTTTATTTGCACAAAATAAAATTCCTACTCAGAATTTGACCGTTTTCTTCTTGTATCGATCAGAAATGGTTTTTTGAAGCAGTTGCATTTATTCTTCATAAAATCAATATTATTATGTAGTTTTGTAATTCACCTCGTTGTGTACGAGAGCATACTTATGCTTCACTGACTTGTTTGTTTAATTAGATATGGAGGTTGTTCGTTGGGTTCATTTTTGGACTCCGTTGGGAAGTACAGTATTTGTAACTCATTTTGTAAGTGAAACGTAACGACTGCCTTGTGTTAACGTGGAAGATGTGAAAACGGTTCTCGTTCTAAGTTAGAACATCGTGCTAAACTTTACAATTAGATGACTGATCTGGAACTAGAACGCCCGGTTGTGTCAAACGAGTTAATCTCACCAAGTAACTCAGAAAGGCAGTATTTATATGTGAAATTTCTACCAGAGGGATCTTAACAACTTGTTGAGCCGTTTTGTTATCAAGAGCTTTCGCTCGTAAACTCACACGAGGTTGTTCCTTGCTTTCCGGGATTTATCATCATATCATGATTTTCATATGGAACGTTACGGGTCCTGTTGCTCTCCAGATTAATTCAAAGTCGATTATCATTATCATATCAAGTTAAATTATCATTAATGAGTGCTGTAGTACTATCTACATACAAGTTATTCTTTAATGTTGTTGAGATATTTTCAAAACTTCGGATTGCAAGTGTCTGCGGTGGCGATCGAACTTGCTGTTGCCCTTTCTGATGGCCGCGTTCATCACCAGAGAAGGACCCACATGGTATTGTGGTGATGAAGATTTTAGCCCTTGGAAAGGACAGTATCGGGTTCGATCCCCATCACATACTTGCTGTTCGGAGTTTTACAAATATCTCGACATCACAACGGTGCTGAGAAATTCGCAAAACTTGAACCACTGGCCAGATCGAACCACGATTACACTTACTGGGGCTCGCGTGTTACACACTGCATTACTGAGGCCCTTGCTTTGCGAGTCTCTCAACTAGTTTTCTACATAACGCTACCATTAGCAATCACCTGTCAACGGGATTGATCTAGGGTGCCGAACTCGGCATTGAACCCTGTTGAGCTGGGGCTATAGTTGAAATTCACAATATTGACTTTTTATTTACTGCCTTTTTAAGTTTTCACGGCAGGCTATTAGTTGTGAAACAACCACGATGATGCTGAGATATTTTCAAAGCTCCGGACCGCAGGTGTCTGCGGTGGGGAACGAACGCACTATTATCCTTTCCGGGTAGTAACGCGTTCACCACCACACCATGCGGGTTCTTCGTTTCGCCAGTCTCTCATGTCCGTAGTTTTGCAACTATTTCAGCATCATTGTGGTTGTTTGACAAATATTACCATGCCTTGAAAACTTGAAAAAGGTGGTAAATAAGAAAGTTAGCACAGTTAACATTTTTATTATTTAGTTCTTCATTGTAACATTAAATGCGAATAGATTACGATATTCGGCTATTGATCTAGGAGAAAATTTTACTGGGGAATTGCGTAGCGGACAATATAATATTTGTCAGTCATAATTCCGACAGTAAATGGGGTCTCTTTCGAGCAACGCCTCTCAAGCGTTCATATGCCTTTTTGTTTCCTGTAAATATATATATCAAATGATCCAGCTGTTACTTCATCAGTTATCCAATGATTTCGTTTAACCCTTTCACGACCGCGGCCATTTCCGCATATCAGCCCAAGAGACCCAGTGTCACTGGAGTGCAATCGAAATGCGCATGGAAATAAAGATGTACGGTCCGTCAACCCATACGAGAGGCGACCACACTAGTTTCTTAAAGATAGTGTTCTATTATTCGGTTCCAAGAATGTACGTATTGACATCAGTGTGATAGTTGTGAAAGGACTAAACGAGAAGCAATGGTACAGTTTTTAGATTGCCACTTTATGTGAGAGTGGCTTGTTGGCTCGTACGACAAGCGCTACGAATCTCGACCAACCGAAGTTTCGATGCATGCTTTCGTTCGAAAACGTGAACGAGATTGCTCAGTAAGCACTATTCTTCCTTGTTTTCACAGTTCATATATATGTTTTGGCAGCTATTAGTAAAAATTATTTCGCAAGTACTCTTCTTAAAACTTGTGAGTTGTAGCTTTTAGCAGTGCTTATTTATCCTTTGTTTATGAGTAAATAGTTTGCTTTTGCAAAAATTAGTGGGTTCTACTTCGGCTTATGGAGACGTGGCAGAGGATAAGTTTTTGTTGCACTAGCAGACCTTAATTTTTATTGATGTTCTAAATTGTCTTGGAAACTTTTCTTGTTTAGGAGGCACTATGTATTTTAAGCATATATGAGAGAAATGTTAATTTATGAGCGTTTATTTATGAACGGAACAAATTCCAGTGTTCTGTGAAATAAGTTTTATATGCTAAATCTAACTAGTACAATTGAAATGGTACCTTATTATGAGATTTCGCGAAGTATTGTTGGCATAGAACTGCAATAGTGTTAGGAAAAACACATGTTATTTTTGGGCCCACACTGTTCAAAATTTCACTAATATATCCTTATTGTTTCTTAACTTAATACTTCTCTGGCAACGGTTTACCGCCTCATCGTGGATGGGAGGTGTTCCCTGATTTCGGGCTGCGATGTACGGCTGCAGGGGTCCATCCCCGCAGTATGGTTTCTCCAGTTGAGAAGGAGTTTGGCGTTTCCATCAGGAAGCCCAGATAAAAGTGAACCAATACCAGGAACAAGCACCGTACTGATATCCAACTATTTGCGTGGTGGCAAATCTCCCCGTTGTCCACAAGAACGGCGAGTGTTTGTGATGGTGACGACCTGAACCAGACTTAGGCTAGGCTGACCTCAGGGCTCCAGGGACCACAGTGCCGCGCAACGAGTGATGACGGACCACTATTCACGTTTAATAATTCGCGTGCAACTTTTGATGCGCTTGTCGTTGTTTTATTTCTATTGTTGGAGGTAGATCATAAGTCTGCTAAGATCTGGCGTATTCGTACATGGTTTTTGCGTTTGAGAAGTATTCGTACACTACTTGCAAGTATAATAATAAGTTTAAGGCTCATATTAGGTGGATATGTTTTACCTTGCAGTAAATATTTTAGTACGTTAATTGTTGATCTTATGTTAAGCATTTTTAATTTATCGATGACGTAGTTGCGTATTCCTACGTTTCTTTTCAGGTCGTTAAGGATACCTTTAGTCGACTACTTAGATAGCTGGAGATAACGAGATCTTCGTGAAGTTGCTCAACAACTTGTTATTTGCACGAAATGTTCATTCTTCTGAATTATTAGCTAGACAGCTTAAAAAAATTACGGGTGTTACTTTTTTGTTCTTCACTTCATCTTGCTATCCCGTTTTTCATAGGGAATCACGAATACGCTGCATTTCACCTTCTTTTGCTTTTCCTCTCGCTCATTTCCATGATAACATCGTTTGTTTTCTATTAGTTTTCTAACGAAATAAAGTTCTTCATTCAGATTTCATCCTTCATGGTCTATATAAAAGTGTGCTCTTAGTGCTTATTCTGATGACCTGTGTTTATGAATTGTGAGGACATCAGTGTATGTTTTATTCACTACTTTCCTGGTTTGGCAGGTTTTCTAAACAGTTGACATAGATATGCTGCAGTTTTACATGCCTCGCAACACTGTCGCACTGATCCTTATCGACTGTAGAATTTTTCGACGTCTTTTTGGAAGTTCGATGTTCTTCTTCAATAAGCAGACACGAGGTTGTTATTATAGGATTTATTGGGATACAATAGATGACGTTTCGGCGGTTTCGCCTTCTTCAGAGCCGTTTATTTGTTGTAAGTATTTAAGTTAGTTGATGGATAGCAGCCGCACAGAGTAATACATGGGAGATAACTCTTTTTGGAAGGTTTACTTTTAAAAGAGCTTCCGAATGGAAATGTCGAGTGCCTTCTCACTTTAGGTAACGTAGATGGTCTTGGTATAGATGGTATTTGTCCTCTCCTATACGTCATAGTTTGTTAACCAGAAACCCTGATTACGTTGAGGGGAAAAAGAATCAAAAGAATACCAAATCAAATGGATAGAGACAGCAACTTATGACTTAAGTTTCCAACATAGTCTTGGGATTCGTAACGAAAACTTAAGAAGTGAGGTTATCAGAGAGCTTGGTAGAGCTGAAGAAGAAACTACGGAACATCAAGGACTTGATTGTTGGTTTGTTGCAGTGACGTGGCTGCAATTCAAATGGCAGAGTGAATAGACGTATGGAAGAAATTCCATAACTCTTAATTCATTCAAACGCCTTGGCTATAACAACGTCAACGTGACGATTATTTGTCCTAACAACAACAACATTAGTAAAGCCATTTCATCGAAATGTGATTGTCATTGGGGGAACTGTGTTTTCTTGTGTGAGAATAATTACCCGTAATGGAATGTTTTTGTAAAAGATTGGTAATATGAGAAAATATGTACAATAATGGTAGATGAACACCGTGTTTGAACGGTTTGAGATGTTTTCATATTCGATGACGTGAGCGGATACGACGTCGTGTTGTAGTGGGTGGGCTGAAGATGTTCACACAACTACGAAATGTGTTTGTCGAGAAACAGGAAGACCTGAAACGACATGAAACATGGGCAGCAAACCTTGCTATGCTCATAGACGGCAAACATATAATACAAATTGGAGTTTCTTAAGAATACTATCCACTAAATAACATTTTATGTAGCAGCTCTAAAAATGTCCCAGATGTTTTGAATAATGCTTTACAATTCAGCGATTAGAGTTCAGTCACTAAGACTTCAGAAATTCGTTTAGTAACCCACATTCCAGTGGAAAAGTGACAGCACAAGCCAAGAAACGTGCATTAATTAGCAACAAAATGATAAGAGACCACCTTTTTTTTACCAGATAAAAACTGCTCCTCAAGACATTCTATAGTAGATTTTATACTACAGGAAGCCTATCACCTGTATCACCTGTAGCCCCGTTGATCGTCGTCGAGTGACACGAACGGGCACCAGTAAATCCTCCATTTTTCCCTGTCGTGTGCAAGAGTAGCCCAGTGGGCTCTGCTTGCTCTAGGAACTCGTCGAGCATCATATCTTTCTTCAAGGCTCTTCGTGAAGAACTCTGACCATCGGGTCGGTGGTCTTCCAGCAGTACGCTTGACATCCCGAGGAATCCAGTCACTCACAGCTCTTGTCCATCGGTTGTCATTCATACGCATTACGTGCCCGGCCCACCTTATCTTCGACTGTTTGGCGCACAGAACGACATCCTTGATTTTTGATCGTTGACGCAGGTCGAAGATTCGGATTCCTTCCATTACTTATGTGAAATGGGATACTCCTAGCGTCGTTCTTTCGACTGCGCGTTCAATGACGCTGTGTGAATTCACCCTGCTTACGCAGCGACCAGATTTCTAACGCAAGAAGTACTGTTGAGGCGAAAAGGTGGGCACGAAGTCGGGTGTTCTTTGTCCTCTTCACTACACCCTCGATGCTCTTGAAAGCTCGCCAGGCCGCTCCTTTCCTTCTGCTTAGCTCTGGAACCAAGTCATTCATCATATTGATTTCCCGACCTAGATAGATATAACTGAAGCATTCAGAGATATTCGTTCCGTTGAGCGTGAATGGGGCATACTAAACCAATCCGTTCCTCAAGAACATCGTTTTTCTGAGATTTAGTGGAAGTGCAATCTTTCCACTGGCTTTATCAAAGTCGTCAAGCATACACTCTGCTTGGCTAATGTTTGGTATAAGGACGATGTCATCAGCAAAGCGAAAATGGTATAAATGCTGACGATCGATTTTCACTCTCATATTATCCCATTCCAATGTTCGCATGACGTTCTGGATGGCGGCGGTAAATAATTTTGGCGAGATCGTATCGCCTTGCCTAACTCCTCTTTTGACGTCAATGTTAATATCGTTGTAGAATGGTACTACCTTGGTTGCGAAATTTTTGTACAGCTCACGAATAATCTTTATGTACTGAGTAGAGAATCCTCACTACCAAGGGCTTCCAAGACTGCTTCTATCTCAACTGAATCAAAGTCCTTCTGTAAATCGACGAAAGTGAGACAGAGCGATCTTTTGTACTCTCGCGATACTTCAATTAGCTGCTTACCGTGTGGATGTGGTCCATCGCACTAAATCCTTTTCGAAACCCTGCTTGCTCACATGGCCGTCCTCCGTCCAGTGCTCTGTTAATCCTGTTTAGGATGACTCAAGTGAAGAGTTTGTAGACGACAGACAGTAAGCAGATTGGGCGATAGCTGCCGATATCGTGCAAGTCACCCTTCTTGAACAATAACACGGTCTTGCTGGCCTTCGGCTGAATAGAGACCTTGCATTCAGACAGATAACGTATGAAGAGCCCACCCAGTATGTTTACGAGGACTGGTGGAAGGTTCTCCAGGTGTTCTGGTCTTATCCTGTCCAAACCTGGAACCTGAAACGGAAAAGCAGTTCGATTTTTCACCAACGAAATGGCATATCGGATTTCGGAAGGGAAAACCGGTGGTGCAACATATCCATCATCCTTTATTTCATATGATGGAAGGTGTACTTAGCCATTGAAGGGATCGGAGTAGTATTCGTGAATGATTTTGTCCATTGCCTTTCTGGACGTTGTAACTGTTCCGTCTGGGCGCCGGAGTGCAATCATTTTCGTCTTGTAATTGGCGAACCGTCGGTGTGCTTTGCGAATTCTTTTCCCACCCTCTGCACCTTCGACCGTTACTGCTGCTCTTCTTTTTTTAAGATCTTCTTTTATCGTCTGTCTGCGTTGCTTTGCAAGTTCGGACGTTAGCTCGTGGTTGCCTTCAGCTCGTGGGAGTCCACGCTGGCGTATGAGCACGAGTGTTTCTGGCGACAAAAGTCTCTTGGTGATTTTCAAACTCAGCTTTCATAGCGCTAACGTGAAAATGTTGAATGAGCCAATCGCATTCTTCGTCGATGTTATCGACAACGGCATCTGCCCAACAGCCGACTAATGAATTGAATAAGCCCCAGTTTGCGGTGGTTCTGGGATTTCGGT